GTTTATATATATGTTTATAAATATATATGAATTATGTTAATATACACATATATAATATGTTTATATATATACAGTCAAACCTGTGTAAGACGGCCACCCATTGTCAAGGGGAAAAAATGGCCGTATAAGACAGGTGGCCGTCTTAGGCAGGACTGATCAAGATGAAGAAAACAAACCATTCCCATCTGAAGTCCTAATCGAAAGTAGCCGCATTGTTTCTTGTTTTTGTTGTTGTTGGTTTGTATTTTGTTTGTTATTTTTATTTCGTTGCTGATTTTGTGCAAGAGTGACAATAAAACGAAATGTATCAGACGAGGAAGACTGAGTACCATGTTAAAACAAACACATGGGTCGCCACCACAGGCGAACGAGCGACGCGTTCATGTTGACGTCCATTGTTTCTTTGTTACAGACTGGGTAAACAGTGACTACGCATCTCACTTACGATTTGTGTATGAGTTCTGGGCGGGGGCGTATGGGTTATGAGGGATCACATGCTTACCTCACCAGCAGTTGAAAATTTGTACCTATTGGTCAACAGTAGGAGGGGCCTACCCAACATGATCGGTTGGAGGGACTACCTAACAACAACGACAGGTGATTGAATTATGACAGCTCGCCCACAACGCCAGGGGCCAGAGCACAATTTATGACAAAACGTAATGGAGTCACTGAGGTGGCGTCTAAGACAGGTGTTATTGCTTAGTGTGATAGGGGTTGTGTGTTAAAATATGGTGGCCGCGGCCGCGTTGGACATGTACCCGTTTTACACAGTAAAATCATATAGAAAAAACGCAAGGGGGAGAATGGAAAGTGGCCGTTTGTACAGGTGGCCGTCTTATAGAGGTGACCGTCAGGGCAGGTTCGACTGTATATATATTATATACACACAAATGTTTATAGATAAATAGATAGATAGATAGATATCGATATATATATAACATATATATTTTTATATATATATATAATATATATATATATATATATATATATATATATATATATAGAGAGAGAGAGAGAGAGAGAGAGAGAGAGAGAGAGATTGAGAGAGAGACACACAGAGAGAGACACAGAGAGAGAGAGAGATTATTTATATATAAATAATACGTATGTTATGTTACATGTGTATACAGTTAAACCTGCTGCAATGTCCACCTGTCCAAGACAATCACCAGTACATACCACAACCGCCCTCCTCCTCCCCCC